TCCCAATAATCTACTTGAGTTTCTGTATCATAAGAGAAGTTTTTGTTTTCACATCTTTTAAGGATGAATATAGGGAATAATTTTTAAAAATGATGGAGTGGCTTTGAAAATATTTTGAAAGTTTTAGGTTAGTCTGTTGTAGGTTTAGTTGTTTGCTACCCAGATCTTTTGTTTCAACTTTACAGACAAGACGATTTGGCTTTTTGTACACTTATTTAATTGTTAAATATTTTAGAAAGATGATAGGGAATTTCATTATTTATGGGATAACCAGAGAGGATTAAATTAAACTTCAAGGTCCAGGGAAGGATGGTGGTAGACCTAACAAAGGTGTTTCTTACAAACAAACCAACCAATTTGCAAAATAATCCCACACTTTTTTCTGTATAAGCTGATTAATAAGTTTTAATGAAGAAGATAGAAGAATAAGGGGATAAGGAAGATGTGGATAATGGCTTTGCCTAGTGAAAGACTCGGAGATTGAATTTGAAAGAATATTATTGGTGTCTCCATGGCCATTTTTGAGACAACAGAACAGTGAATCATTTGTAGATTGTGGAAACTTTCATAGTATGATTGTCCTCCTCATTTCAGAATGTTACATTATAAATTTCCTTCTTCAGAGTAATTGTCTCAGGATATCTGGTTATTCAGCTTTAATACAGTAACTCACTCTTGCATGTGATCTCTGTAATTAAGAGACCATTCTTCTTAATTTTCTTCAATTTTTAAAAGTCTGTATGGACCTAGCATAATGCAGATACTGGGTAAATCGTGAAAGGCCCTGTACAAGTGAATCTGTAGCAAATAACTTTGGAAAGGTGTTGCTTCTTATGAATCGGAAAGTATTGATAGTGTCTAGGGTTATCTCCAGGTGAAAGATTTGAACAGGATGTTGTCCTATCAACAATACAGCCTCATAGAAGTCAACCTCATATTTTGAAGGAAAGGTAGGTGAATTGGTGTTGGATAGAACTGACTCAAAGAACATTTAGGGCACAAAATACAGTGCTGTTTTTATCTTCTAAAGCTGTTTACTAAGTTTGGAAAGTTTCAGTTGAAGGGTGTTTGAGTTGGCATGATTTTTATAGAATACTGTACAGTTGACAACATTGTTTCTCAAGTCTTCAACTCTAGAAACAGTGTGCTTTGCTTCCACTTTGTTATAAATATCATGCCAATTTTGAAACATTAATAAAAGTCGACTTTGAATATTAAGTCTTTGGTTTCCAAATAAAGGGCGCATAATAGCGGTGTAATTTTTGCAAACTTTTTTGCTTGAAGTTGTAGATAAACCTTGCTATAAACTCAGTAGATTTGCTAGAAGAGCTTGTGATTGAGTGCTATGTATGCTTGCCTTTTTGCTTCCACCTAGAATCCAGGGCCATTACTTTCTGTAACCATTTCAGTGAGCTGCCATAGTTTTCAGTCTGTACTGTCACCTGATCCAAGCATGCGCCAAAATACCCACTGTTTCTGGCTACTGTCTGCTGAATCTGCTTTGCAAACCCTTAGTTATTAAGCTTTTGCCTTAGCAAAAAACAACAGACACTCTGACGGAGTGTACTGGACACATGCCATCCTGCTTCCCTAACTCCTCTAATTGTTTATGTAAATCCTTAGCTTTACTAAACTTGTAAATGCTACAATGGCATCCCCATGTGAAATTGTGTGGCTCATGTGTCAAAAAAGGCTGCTTGTGAAAATATTTGTCAGAAGAATATGAATGCTACACATTGCACTGCGTTCAGTGTTTTGTATCAATTTATTATTGCAATGTCATGGTGTTTGATTTTAATTATAGACAATCATTTTGTGTTCTAATGTGCAAAGGTAAGTTCATGTAAACTGTGAATGTACAGTATTTATAAATAAACATACTGATTCAGGTTTTTTGCCTCTTTCTGAAAGAAAAAAACCCCACAGTTAAATGTCTTAAGCAGAGGACCCAGTCTTCTTTACAAACACTTGTTTATGCATGACTCGTATAGAAGTTTTTGAACTTGTGCAATAAGAATTCGTTGGATTTTTTCAAAGATATTGGGCCTGGTCCTGTTAACACAAAGACAATGGCTGGAAAATTGTTCTTATCTCTAATAAGAATGAAAATGATCCATTATATTACTGTAGTTAATAGTTTTGTTAATTCTGATGTTGAACAAATTCTGAGAGTAAAGAGTTAGATCTTGCTTTAGCAAGACATAGTGTTGAGCAACCTCACCACAATACGTGCTTTCCATTATGATAAGGCATGCCTGTAGATAAGTTAGGTGAGAAAATTGTGTTAACTCTCTTAGGAACTTGTTCCTAAACTTTAATTTAAACTATAAATTTTTGTGGAGGAAAGTTAAATGTGTGTATAGAGTTTGGGACCCGTCACTATTTCTATCTTCTCTCTTCCCCTCAAGCATGTCTGTTGCCTTTCAACATTTCATTCTGTTTCAGTTTTTACTGTGGCTACATACCTTTTCAGTGTCATATTCTTGTTTGTAATCTTATTCTTTATTCCACAGCACTTTCCCTCTTCATCTCCAGTCACTTCACTTGTTGCTCACTTTCAACTCTTTTGTCATGACTTCACATTTTCTTGCACTTTTTGTCATAGAAAGGTCACTGGTGACAAGTAGGAGCAGTTTTTGCCAAATGGTACCTAAAGATGTGAAGAGAAAAGTGATGATTTAGTAAAATTGGCTTTTTTGTCTTTATGTCTAGAAAAAGGTTACTTCTCTTTTGCAGGTGTTTTTCTGTTAAGTACAAAAATTTGTGTGGCTCTTCAGTCAGTGTTTATAGTCAGCTGCCTGTGATCAAGTCTAATTGACCAAGAATTGTTCTGCATAGTCAGTGAACCACTTTTCCTACTACTTACACTTTCTGTTAGAGGGAGAAACATATTGATAAGCAATCTTCTTCTTGTCCATGGTTGGATGGGGAAGGAGGAATTGCTCCCAGGATCCATGTCCATTCCACCATAAAGAGTTAGTGATAACATTTACAGAATGTGCTTGTGGTCTCACATCTCCCATACAGCTCCCCATTTTGTCAGATGTCGTAGCCTTTGCCTTAAAATGGATTTCCAAAGTTGCTCCGTTCACTGACCACTACTACCATTAACTGGTGGCAACAATCACAGCCTCTGTTCAGACATGCATAAGAGAAGACATTTTGCCTCCCACTTTTCTTTGTGTATACCACAAATAGTTCTCATAGCTGAGCTTGGGAACTCCAACCCTGTGATGTGATGGGTTATTTCTGTGTGATTCTCAGCTTTTGAAAACTGAAAAGTGTGAGACCTTGCTAGCAGGTACTCCAACTGTCTAGGTCAGGATTACTGTGTATCATCTCGAGCATTTGATTTTCCCAGTCAGTGAAAGTGTTTAAACAGTGTTTTCATGTTGAGACACTGAAGTACAGTGCCTCAAGATTCTCCTAGTAATGCATTGAAACCTGCTGAAGGTGAACTTGGATATAATGAACATAATTGAGATGGTTAATGAAAATCCTTAGTCTGTTTTGTGTCTTATTGTATACATTTTTGTCTTGATTGTGGAGAACCTTCCTGAGAACTGTCACTGTAGGGTTGTTTTTCTGTTTTGTGTTCATTTCTTAAAGCAAAGTTTGGATAAACTTCAGTCTGAACACCCAAAGCTGCTGTTAGTCAGTACAATGCTACACAAGCATTAACATCTAAAGTTAGCTATAGTTGAATATGCATACCTCTGTGCTCTTTTTTTAAATTAGAAAATGATCATTAGTTTATTTTAGAAAACTGAAAGCTTCATTCTAAATGAAAAGTTGAGGTAAATTCATGAGTTAATACATCTTGCTGTACAGTATTTTTGTTTCAGTAAATTTCAAAATATGTGTATATCTGCATCTTTCATTTTTGTTTGTCATGTTGTCAGAGAACCTAGTGTATGATACAGGATTATCATACACTATTATTTATAAATATTCCTGTTAGGACAAAATTGGTTCCTTACGAATCTCAGGTTTTGACATTGATATTTTAAATTATGATTCAGCAAGGAGATCTCAATGGCTAGAAGTTTGTATCTGTGAAGTTCAGTTGATTTCAGGGAAATTGTGTAAGAATCTGTCTACTCAGAACCCGTTGTAGCATCTGAGTGCTTATTGTTACTGGTTTTCCCATTATTTTATGTATCAACAATTAACATGGTTTTCAGCTAAGTTCGTTGGTACAGGTAAGCCCTTTTTAAAGAAGAAACAGTTGACAAACTCTAGTTGTAAATGACAATACTGGTTGACTTCATATGTAAAAAGCTTGCAAGACAAGAGCTTTAGTTCTGGGAAAATAATTGCTGAACGATTAAAATAAATGGATTGCATAAACTTACTCTAGTAGCACACTTTTTTGCATTTTTTATGTAGTATTCAAATACTTTGCTTCTCAAAGTTAGAAGTATTGAAATAAGGACCACAGAGCTGTGTGTTCGATTAGCGATACAGTCTTGAACAAATATGTTAACATCTGGTTAACAGAGAGAACTGCTTGCAATAGGAAAAACTTTTGAGGTTGTTTCAAACATGTCAAGTGTATACCAAAGTAAAATACTACTTTATTACTACAAATACTATTTCATTACTACTACTACTACTACTAGTTTTTCAATATTACAGAGTGTCTTTGAAGCTTTATTGCAAGTTACATGCTGCTCTCGTGTTGTTGGAAAGTGACAGTATGGTCTTCAAGTGGGTAGAGATTGGAACGGTATCTACAGTATTTTGGTGTTATCTGTCATATGGACAACAACAACAAGAATGCAGTAATTTGCCAGAACCTGTTCATATGGATGATAAACAAGAAAATTAACAGAAAAGCCCTGTTAGCGTTTGCTTGAAGTGCGATAACTAGGAAATAAAAAGTGTCCAGATACAACAAAATGAGTGAATATGAAAAATTTGACTTTTCAGATTAATTGCATGAAGCTTTGTGTTGACATAGTGCAGAATAGTGAACTGATTTATACTTTGTCTTTCAGATGAACCAGAGACACGAGATGCATGGTGGGCAGAAATCAGACAAGAAATAAAATCCCATGCCAAGGCATTGGGTTGTCATGCTGTAGTGGGCTACAGTGAATCAACTAGCATTTGGTAAATCATGATGATGATTTGATTTTCAAAATGCCACAGAAAATTTATTTCATCTTCAGTGGATTAAAGATGATTAACTATTTCAACACAGTTGTTGATAGAGTCTAGTGTACCTACTTCAGAGAGTTTGTTAAAGGAACTTTCTGAGATTTCAGTATTGTGTGCTGCTCCTTGTTTTTTATTTTTGATCTGGGTTTTTTGTTTGTTTTTGTTTTTGTTTTTTAACCATGTTTTGGTTTGGGTTTTAAGATTTTTCTAATGAACATTAGAATATTTATTTTAAAAAAAAACAATCCTCAAACCTACGTATTTGCTTTTGTAGTAATAATGTTAATTTTTCTATGAAGTTTTCTAAACCTAATCTACCTAAATAGTTAAGTCTCTTCTTAAAAGTGTATGTATTGCAGTTTCATTATTGGGTAACAACTGGCAGACCAGTACTTAAATGGTAAACTTCAAACTTAAGACGCAACTTCTTTACTAGGAATGTAATAATTGTACGTTAAATGAGAATATGCTGCTTATAGGTCTAGAATACTTTAGGTGTAAATGTTCTGTGTTTCTTCCTGGAAAACGAGTGTGATTATTTTTATCTTTCAGTACTACAGTAGTGTTTAGCATATTAAACTGCAATTCTGCAGTAATCTTTCTGAGATTGAATTCCCCAGCCCTGCATCCTATTCAGGCCAAAACTCCAGTGCCTTACTGTATTCCCTTTGGCTAAGAAAATTCCAATGTTGTGTATTTGGGTGGCTTAATAACAAACTTCGTGAGAGGCTTGGAGTTTGGGAGAAATAATTCAGGATTCATCTAATTACTGGTCCTTTCTCGCCAAAGAAAGGTGGTGTCTCTTTCTAGCTCTGGAAGGTAATCTATGAAGAGCTCCTCCTGGGCCCGAGTGTGTCTGACTGGTATCAAACAGAAAAGTACTCTGGCTCACTAGTTGTTTTGAATTGATTTAGGAAAGTAACTGAAGCAAACTCAGACATCTGAATTTATTTTCTGTAAAGCAGACTTTGCCTAAACACTTTGAAGAAAAAGTACTGAAGATTTGCCTTTTTTAAAGAGAGAAGCTGGAAAAGGAAGTTTCATTTTACTTTGCAATTGATAAGTTGAAGAAAGAAATACAGAGTTATATAGTGCTTTCATGAGTGCATACCATCTGTTGGTAAAGTAGTAAGATAACCAGAAATGATCAGCCTGAAAGCCACAACACTGATTGCTTCACATCTATTGCCGCTTCACGTTTATTGCTTCACTGCAGGTGAAAAAAAAAAAACAAAACAACAAACAAAACAAAACGAAACCACCAAATATATTGAACTTTCACAAAACTTGAAAACAGTTTTTGGAAGTCAAGTACTTGTGCTAGTAGAGTAGGGAAACAAGATAATTTACTTTATAGAGAAGGCATGATTTGTATTCATTATGCTGTCTTGTCTGATTATGGTCTGTCTTGCTTGGTGTATTAAAGACCATATTTACCTCAGAATTGCAATGTGCAGGTTCCTATCGCTGAGGGATGAACTTGCACTAAAAATGGAAGATTTATTCCTTTGGCTGTCAGTCTCCTTGTAGAAAGCATAAATATTTCGTTGTGTTGTTTTTGGTTTTTTTCTGTTGTTTTTCCCCATTAACTATGGGGAAAGAATGTATAGAGTATAGATAGGCAGTCAGTTATTGGGTTATTTCACACTTTCCTTTTTCTTAAGGAATTTAATGTGGTACTATTAAGAGTTCCCATGCTTACTTGCCAGTTCAGCTTTATTGCATGCCTAAAGAGCAAGGCTCTGTCCGTAAGTACTGGTCTGCCAGACATGTTATATATGAACAATTATTCTGGAAAGAGAAATAACAAGAAAGGCACATGTATTGTTCCAGAAATTGTGGGAAAGCTTTTCTCTGTATTTTTTCCAATGTAGTACTCCAAGCACTGAATGTTAGAGGTTTGTTTCTTACTTAACAATTTCAGAAATGTTAAAAGCTCTGTGATCATAGTTTGCACTTCTGAGAGCTTTAACTCTCCTAAATAATGAATATGATCAGTTGCTTTACATGCTATATGTATCATAGCTGTAGTTGTTCATAGTCAAATTTTACTGTTTGGCTACTTTTTATCCTCCAAGAAGCACCCTTGTCAGTGTTGTGTTGTAACTTCCTTTTGAAAGTGAATGTTTATAAGATGATGAGGCTCTCAACTTCCATTTTACTTTGGTAAACAATTACACCTTGGTTTTTTTAATGTTTCTTTGCTTTTTGTTGGTTGGCCCAATTGAAAACCATACTTAAGCCTGGTTAGCCTTTGTGATGTTACAGCATATTATTTATAACACAGGGCAAAGCTCTTTAGTCTTTCAGTTCAATCCTTCTGCATCTCTTACACAATGGTTTAAATAACAAAGGAGGATTGTTTGTCGGATTTAACAGATAAAATTGCACAAATGCACAAAATTAGTAGTTATATTGAACTCATAGAGACTTTTGTACCAGCCTTTTAATCTAACAGTTTTAAATAAAAGTAGCACAAAGTAGTAGGAATTCACTTTGTTGTAATTCTTTTCTCTTATAGTGAAGAGGTCTGTATTTTGTCCGCGTCTGGCACGGCAGCTGTACTGAACCCTAGGTTTCTTCAGGATGGCACCATGGAAGGCTGTTTGGAACAAAGGTTGTCATGGCAGCCTGGCTTCTTTTCCATAGGGTCAGAGAAGGGAGAGGTTGATTTTTTTCCTCAGAGCCAAGATAGTTCTTCTCTATTAGGGTAGGTTACAGTGTTACAGTGCAGGATGCGGGACCAACCACTTTACTGCTTTTCACTAACAACAACAACAACAGAAGTAATGGAACTCTGCACCAAATTAGATATTCTGTTTTTATTTCTAACAGTCTGAATAAGGTAACATATTTGACTACTAACCACAGATAATAACTCAGTTTTTTTTTTCTTTGCTGCTCTTCAGGTATCTTTCTCAACTTTATATCACACTATTAAAAAATGATAGATGTATGATAACTTATATAAACCAAAAATTGTTGTGGCTGTAATATGTGTATATGTGGTCTATATATACTATTTAAGAGCTGTATGGGAGATAAAAGAGCTTGGTTGTAAAACAAAGATGGTGCCATATTTTTACAAAATATGTATGTTTTAGTTGAAGTTTGTGAACAAAATCATGAAACTGAAGGAAAAACATGAAGTTTCCCTTTGTTTTTGCTCTTGAAAATAAAATTTGAAGAAAGTATTGACAAACAGTAATTCTAGGAAAAAATAATTAGATTAACTAATGCATATTGGTCATCATTACACGTTCATCAGGATAGTCATTAAATATTTCAAGGGATTATTGTAGTCATGAGAGAGGCTATTTATTACACCTTAGCACTTGCATTACTTTTTCCATAATAACCCTGCTAACAGTGTTATTTATTATTCTTTTACTTTGTTAGCAGGAGACCTTTATGTTCTTGTGTAGATAGACTTTTGAAAACTGTTGCCAGAACAAAAATATTTGTTTCTGTATTCTCTATGTGATGGAGAGAAAGAAATGTCATGTTCATAATACGAAGAAAATGGCATTTTTATCAAAATACGTGTTTCGGTGCTACTGAGCATCTTGGCATAGATTACAAATGCCAAAGGAAGGTAAAACAACTAAAACGGACAAAACCCATGTTTGAGACAAAATATATACGCCAAAGTCAGTGATAACTAATGTTCCAAATCTGTCAGATTTGCTTAAGCATCTCTTCAAAATTCACTGAGAAGAATTGTTCATGTGAAACAGAATAAATTTGTAGTGGTGCAGTTAGCCTATGCTTTCCTTGTTTGTATTTTCATAGTGGTCATTCCTGGATATTTCTTATAGGGCAGTGGGACTAAGTGTTCTAAGTCAATAACAAGTTTTACCTAATACCTTATCTTAGGAAATAATCTTGCTGTTCTTGTTACAATGTTAATATATATTGTGCTGCTTCTTAGTAGGATAGTTAGTTTGTTGTTTATGTTCTGCTTATTCAGTTTGTGTAGGTTTTTGGACACCATCTGTGTAAAAGAGACTTTTCATTGCATTTGGTACAGCAAATTTTTACAACTGTTGTACCATGGACTACATTTATAAATCATAATGCCTAAAGCCAGCTTAGTAATGTTTTAGTTTCATATAAATCTTTGGTCATTGTATGTACTTTTTCTTGATCACTGCACAACAAGTTTCAATGCAAGTTTTATTTATAGCATTTTAGCTGGTAGTGTGCAGCCTAATTTTATTCTTCCAATTCATAAAATGCAATACTTGTCACATTGGTACAATGAAGCAGAGTATAGCTGCAGTATGATTTAAGCAGGTATCTGTAGGTGTTTATACACATGTGGATGTCTTGATCATTTTAATGAGATGCAGATGTTTTAAGTATGTTCTCCATAATGTATTTTTAGGATTGAAGAAGCTTCACCACCAGGTTGTGGATTTTGCCATATACCATATGATGAATTGAACATGCCATTCCCTGCTCACCTCACTTACTGTTACAACTGCAGGAAGCAAAAAGTTCCTGATGTCCTTTTCACCACAATTGATCTTCCTGTAGAGGCAATAGTTATTGGGAAGGGATGTCTTATTCAAGCCAGGTATCTATCAAAAATTTTCTTAATAAAGTTTTGGAGATCTTCAAAAGAATTCCTGTTGCTAAAATCCAGTATGTCATTAAACCTTAAATTTTTATGTGGAATTGCTACAAGTTAATGAGAGTGTCTTAGGATATGGGAGGAGAAAGACATGTTATATGTCATGTCTGTTGATGGACATCTGGTAACTTATCCATGTTGATGGACATTTGGTAAATGTTCTGCCTTTTTTAAATGCCTATGGGAATTACTGTATTTTTGTCTACCTGGAGGTAAGAATTTTCATGCTTTGACTTGCTGTTTCGGACAGCTATTGCACTGAAAGCTCAATTAACTGTTTAAGTCAGTTAATAACAGAATGGTAGGGGTTGGAAGGGACCTCTGGAGATCATGTAGTCCAACCTCCCTGCCAAAGCAGGTTCACCTACAGCAAGTTGCACGGTAACTGTCCAGGCAGGTTTTGAGTATCTCCAGAGAAGGAGACTCCACAACCTCTCTGGCCAGCCTGTTTCCAGTGCTTTGTCACCCTCAAAGTATAGAAGTTCTTCCTCATATTCAGATGAAACTTCCTGAGTTTCAGTTTGTGCCTGTTGCCCCTTAACTTGTCGCTGGGCACCACTGAAGAGTCTGGCCCCATCCTCTTGACACCCACCCTTTAGGTATTTATAAGCATTGATGAGATCACCTCTCAGTCTTCTCCAGGCTGAACAGACTCAGTTCCCTCAGCCTTTCCTCATAAGAGAGATGCTCCACTCCCCCCTCATCATCTTTCTTGCCCTCCACTGGACTCTCTCCAGTAGTTCCTTGTCTTGAACTGGGGAGCCCAGAACTGGACACAGCGCTCCAGATGTGGGCTCACCAGGGCAGAGTAGAGGAGGAGGATAATCTCCCTCAACCTGCTGGTCACACTTCCTAATACACAAGATACAATTGACCTTTTTGGGAATTTGGAAATTTGGGAATTTGGAAAAAGGAATAAGGTGTTTTACAGTGGGAAAGGAGGGGGAGTTAGCTATGTACAGTCTGTATGGGTGGCCAACTACATGGATAAATAACTGGTTGGATGGTTAGGCTGAGAGTGCAGTGATTTATGGTTTGTAACCTACCTGTATGGCCATGACAGGTATAGTGGAGTCTGCAGCGGGACCTGTCCTGTTGAACATGTTAATGATGTGGAAGGGATGATGGACTGTGTTCTCTTGAAGTTTGCCAGTTACACCACAATGAGTGGGATCAGACCATATGATACCTGTCCAGTTTTGTCCTCCTCTGAGAGTAAGACAGAGATCAGAAAAATAGAGCAAGTTCAGTGGAAGGCCACCAAGGGAGTAAGGAGCACATGCTCTATGAAGAGAAACTGTGGGTGCTGAACTAGTTCAGGCTGGAAAGAGGAAGGATTCAGGGGGACCTAATAGCAGCCTGCCATTATAAGGAGGTTGTGGAGCATATGTAGCCAGGGTCTGCACAGTGAGAGAGACGGTGGGCCTAAGTTGAAGCAAAAGAGATTCAGAGTAGATAGAAGGAAAAACTACTTACCCATGAGGACAGTCAGGTAGTGGAGCAGGTTACCTAGGCAGCTGTGCAGTCTCCAACTTTGGGGAGTTTTCAAGACCTGACTGAGTAAAGCTCTGAGCTTCCTGGTCTGAGCTCAGAGCTGACCCTGCTTTGCTGTATAGGAATTTGAACTGGAGACCTCCTGAAGTCCGTTCTCACCTGAGGTTTTTTAATGATCCTGTGATTATCATTCTCTGATTTCCACTAGAGCAGAATTACTGGAGCTACTGTAGAGATGTGTTCTATGCTCCTTCTTTGGTATTTTTCATATTATTAAACTCTGCATTCAGCACGATTGTGGAAATTGACTTAGTTTGACATGGTGGTCCATAATCTGTCTCTGGAGCATTTTTAGGTGTCTCGTTTTCTCTGGGATGATTCGTCAAACATTCCCATCCCCACAAAAATGGAAAAAGAAAAAGACCTGAAGCTATAGTTAGAAAGACTTTTGAGGTGAACTTGTTACAATTGGGTGAATTACTATGTTTTCCTGGTCATGTAATAAATGTGGTCCTTGGAAGAAAGTGTTATCTGTTCATATCAGTAAAACATACAGTTGTCATGGGCTCTTTTTGAGGAAAAAAGTTATCACTGAAAGTTAGGCAGTCATTATACTGATGTGGGGTTTGAATTTCAGCTTATGAGACTGCACCCAAAGAGTGGAATATGACTATCATAATACAATCAGAGATGGGATTTCTATGCTCTTTCTTTTATTCTTTTAAGATAAGTATTTTTAGTATGGTTGATGCTTGAGCTGTAAGGGCACTCACTTTTTTCTTTATTCCAAAGTGTGCCTTGAATAACTGTATTAATAGGAATTTTAAAAGTTGTACCAGTAGATATAATTTCCTATGCTTGTACCTGAAATGTTTGAGGTTTGCAGCAACAGAAATAGATGTTTGCATTTGGGGTCTTACTAGAAGAAAAGCTGAAAATACAAATTTTCAGATAAGACAATCTCAAGGAGTTCTTGTAAAGAACTGACATTTTACCAAACAACTGGCAATAGCAAAGAAGTTGTGTTTGTCTTCAGTATTTGCTTTGGCAAAAGTGAGCAGGGCAAATTTTTAACAGCTGCTGCTATATGGTGGGAGTGTTAATATATTTAGCCAAACATCTAGTAGATGGTTATCTGGAATCTGTAGAAAACTTCTTTACATTGCGTAGTTATTTGGTGCTGTTGGACTATTATGACAAAACCCGTGTGATGCATGTTTTTTCTGCCTGATAACACTCCTTAAGCGTGTTTTAAGAAAGGAGATGAAACTTCATATAGTGATTTACAAAAATACAGTATTTGTAATTTTTGTATTCTACTTTAATAGGAAATATTTTTGAATGTTTCTGTGGGTTATGTATTGTTCTGTTTTATTTACTTTTTATGTTACCCATTTTTATTGTTAATATAAATATACACTTTCCTATTAAAAATGAAAATCGGATCTTACTTATTGGGACTCAGTGCCTCAGTCTGCCTTGATCTTCCTGACAAGAATTTAATATTTTGCAAGATTCTAAAATGCATTAAAAAGAAACTGATTGTATTAGGTTATACAATGAGGGGGAAAAAAATCAAAATACCCTGTGATCACTTGCAATCTTAAGCAGTCCATTAAAACTGTTTATCTGCTGACGTCATGTACTGTTTCGTATTGTCAGGTTATGCCGTCTAAAGAAGAAAGCTCAAGCTGAAGCAAATGCGACATCTATCAGTAATCTCTTGCCATTTATGGAATATGAAGTGCATACCCAACTGATGAATAAACTTAAGCTGAGAGGAATGAATGCTCTGTTTGGGCTGAGAATTCAGATCACTGTGGGTGAAAATATGCTAATGGGGTTGGCAGTAAGTACAGTTTTAATCTTGGGATTCTTTTGCTTTCTTACAGTATTTTTGCAGGGCACAAAGATATACAAGTGAAATTCAGAGTAACTAGAGAGATTAAAATGACAATTTGAGAATAAATGAAGTGATGGAAAGGAATGAGGTGTCTAATTGTTGACAGATCAGGACAGATTGTTTTTCAGCACCAGAAAATGAAGACTCAAATCTCTTGAAACTCTGAGGACAAGATTGTTAGAAAGGGGGTGAGAGGAAAAGAAATGTTAAATGGTTTAATGGCATAAATTACAGAAAAATTACTGTGTTCTTTAAAGGTCGTGTCAAAGAGATCCCTGTTCCTCAAGTTGCATTACAGTTCCATGACGAATAAGGTCAATTAAGTCTCTCAATAAATTTTTTGGTTAGTTTCCAAGAAGAGCAAGGTCTGTCACGTCTTCTTTGATGGCACAGAAGAAATAAATGATAGATTGGAAGTGTCTTAGAGTCAAGAAATGTTCATTAACAATATTTTCTAACCTCTTTCTGTCATGTGGGATTAGAATAGTGAAGTATGCTGCTTCTCCTGCATCAGTGTAAGAGGATACTTGGGTAATATTGACTGGCTTGCATGTTCTTTTGTGTGAAGTGATGATCTGTTTTCTGTAAATAGAAATGGGATTGTCACAATTTCAGTAATACTGTAAATGGTTTGGCCAAGTTTTAAATCCTTGAAACCATCACTTGCCTCTGCAAAATATACTAGGATAGAGGTTTTAATTCATAGTTTGTTTGGAACTTTTAGGTAAGTTAGAGCTCCGCCATGGAAAAGACCCATGAGAAGGAGAGAGTTTATTAAAAGAATAGTAGGTTTTTTTCATAAGTGAATAGGAGAGAGCTATCCATTTATTGTGGGAAGAGATCATGCTGTAATATGCATGTCACAATGCTGTCCATTATACCATAAGCATTACAGAAAACTTCATATGAAAATATCAGAAGTACATGCTTGTGTAATTGTCATTTTTCTTAATGACTTTTTAAAAGTCTGCAACAGGTGTGTATCTAGCAGCTCTGCCAACACCTGGTGGTATTCAGATTGCTGGGAAGACTCCAAATGATGGCACCTATGAGCAGCATATATCTCACATGCAAAAGAAAATAAATGATACGATAGCAAAAAACAAGGAACTTTATGAGATTAATCCTCCAGTAAGTAATGCTTTTATGTTCTTAAAAATAAAACTTTTAGTCAAACAGATATACACCTTGTACATCTATGGGTTCTTATTGACTGAATCATTCAGAGCATAAGTTGTTTTTTAATAGAGATATAGATTCTTTTCACTATATTTTGGGAACCTACTGGAATTTTCAGATCTCTTAAGCCACATACCCAAATCAGTTTGTACTTACTTAGATTTATTTCTCAGTAAAATTATTTTCAGAATGTGGTGGTTCTTAGAACTGTTAACAAATTGCTTATAATTGAAATTATTTCTAAGCTACATAGAACAACGGTTAATTTTTATATCCTTTTTAGGAGCTACCTGAAGAAATCATTGGGTCTCCCATTCCAGAACCAAGGCAACGTTCCAGGTTATTAAGATCTCAATCAGAAAGTTCTGATGAAGTTACAGAGCTAGACCTTTCACATGGCAAAAAGGATGCTTTTGTCTTGGAGGTGATAAATGTTTTCAGTACTTGTTTTCATACTTCTCTTTTCCTGAAATATATATATTAAAAATGGAGAAAAGTTTTCTTACTCATCTCCAAAGACAGTTCTTAAATTGTATATAAATTTTTCCATTTTGTATCAGTAGAAAATGTTAAGTATTGGATTTTGCATTGTCTTTCCTATTTGCTTAAAGCATAGCTGTATTATGCCTATGGACAATATCTGAAAAAAGATTGCACTGCTGTTCATGAACATGTAACAATATCTAGAATAATAACTAAGAACTGCTAAGAAATGCCTTTCTGCCTACTTCAAGCAGCAGTTGCGACTGATCCAAAACTTAGATATATTTTTATAAATGTTAAGGTTCTGTGTTGTCACACTTTATATTTAGCAAAGAAAAAACTTGTATATTCTTCCCATTTCAAAGCTCTTGTCATAGTTGGATATTCAGAATTACTAGTTTCCAGAACTGGTAGTATTCAAAGAAACGCATGTGTCAAGACAGCATATAAAAGAAGACTTGCTTTTCTGAATTTCAGCTGATGCTTTTCAGAGTTCAAGAATTTACAAATTCAGAGAATACTTTCCAGTTCTTTCTACAGCTAGAACTAGAAAGAACAACACCACCTATAGATAAAGAATATCAATTTCTTTTATCTCTCTATTCACTAAAATTCAAAGCTATGATTTTAACATTATACAATTTTGAAGGAAAGGAGCCAAGTACTAAAGAAGGCTAGAGTTTTGATCATCATCTTGTAGATACAGGCATTACAAATAGGTATCCTAGACTAAGAAAAAGAAAACAATGTAATTATATTACAGCCTGTAATTGCAGCTTAAGGTATATTCAAGACTTTCCTTTATGTCAATCTTCACAAATCACTGTTTTCATAGAAAATAATCTGGAAGAAAGATTGTAGATAGGGAAAAGGAGAGAGAGCTCTGTAACGGCAGTTCATTTGGAAACAGGAAAAAAAGGAGAGGGAAGAAATAACAGGTTGGGAGATGTTGGTGTAATAAATTGAGGTTGGTTGGTTCTTCTGCTCTTTGAGTGAATTACAGATATACTAGTATCAAAGTAAGTAAATTGGGAAGTCCCTAAAAGTAACTTTGATGCTAGTTAACTCTCACATTATAAAGAAATGAGGAGAGTTTTCATCAAGTATTTTTTGCAGCTGGTCTTAACAGGTTTTTGGTTTTGCTTTAGTATCATCATCTGTGTAGACTGACAGGAGCAGAATTGTATCCTCAACACAAAAGTTATGATAGATGCTCTCTGAGCCACTGCATTGAAATGGATGAGCCAAATAGAAAATACTTAGATAAATGCAAAAAGGGTCGAATGCCTTTTTAAAAAAGAGAGGATTGTGTAAGGCATTAAAAAAACAAGCCAAAGACTGTTAAACTGCAACGGACCCTTTGGACAAATTATGAAAAATACCGGGGAAAGATAAGCCCAGCCCCCTTTTCACTTCTAAAGGCTGTCAAATGAAAGAGAGAGAGAATAATAAAAGCTTGGCATGCCGCTTCTGTCCGGTTGCCTCATAAAGAAGCTTGATATGTTACAGGCAAAGAACAGCTGGTTAAGGACTGTATTATATACTGCAAGCAGAGTTCAGCTCTTTTTTTTTTTACAGTTTTGGAGAATTCTTCCTTCTACCTTATTTATTAACTGTAGTGTATGCACTTGGGGGGCTAGGAGATCTCTATGTGGAAGGGGAAAATAGAAGTACACTGTAGTGTACTACAGAGTATATTACAAATGGTTCTAAAGTTAGCAAGAATAAAAGGTCTGATGTTTAAGGGCCATCATTTGCTGGTTTACATTATGTGAGTGTGTTGGTCCTAGAATATGCATCCCTGTGTTTTGGTAGTTCAGTCTTTATAGAAAAAAGGACTTTTCATCTGGACTTACTACTGTCTGTTAAGAAATTGGATATCAGAAACAATATTCCAGGAGCTTTAGTGAAGCTCCTGACTCTGACCTGTCAAGGCTAAAATCATCGTTCACTAGAAATATGTAAGAAAAAGTGGTAAAAAATTCACTGTGATGAGGAAATGCTGAGAGATGCTGGGAAGGCAATTATTATGAGAGGTAAAGCTGTCTCTTCTTTTTTTTTTTTTTTTTTTTTGGGGGGGGAGTGGGGCGGAGTAAGACTGTTCCTCTTTACTTTGAGAGGGAGAAGGGAAAAGAATACCTGACAGAGAACCCTTTAATATTGGTATTTAAAATAGAAATAATTTCCAAAATACTTGCTAAGAAAATGTTGGAAGTTAGAGGTAAACTTGGATCTTGTGCAGTTCAATAAGGCAGAATGAACCTACGGAGACACGACAGAAATATTTACAGAAGGTAGGAGGGCAGATGTGCTCTCACTCTGATCTAAAATAACAGAAGTCTTTAAAGATTGGGTGGTGTAGAGGTTATTTGGATAGGAAAAAGTAATAATCTCCAGATTTACATTTTCCTGTTTGATTTTCTGCTGTTCATACGAAACAAGGTTTTCAACGTCCTGGAAAGATTTTTGTGTGTCATTGGAATAGGTAGAGAATGATCACGTCAGTATAATACAGACCTTAGGAGAGCTCTAGTAGCCAAAGGTCCTTACCTGGAAAAAGTTGTAAGTTGTTGTGTGGAACCTTGTTCAGCATTTTAAATTGTTTAAAAAATGCTCTTTTTATCATTTTTGTTTTAACTACTGCAATTTCTATGTGTTCTGTGCACATCGCTTTATTTTTAATACAATTTAATTAAGGGAACTATTTTTCAAATGTTAAGTGTGTCATAGTCTGTTAGTTAAGATTCAGAGGTCTGGTTAATGGAATCCTTTTTTAAAATCTCAGCTTAGCTGCTAGATACAAATCTCTTGATAACAAAGTTTTCACACCTTTCTTAGACTTCTGACTGGAACAGCAACATGATTTTTATCAAATTACTCCTTTTTCCAGATTGATGATACAGATGCAATGGAAGATGTACATTCTTTACTGACAGATGTTCCACCACCACCTGGTATAGTAAAAAAAATATATTTTTCTAATTTATACTGTAGGCTGAAAAATGAAAAAATAGAACTGGTTTTATTTTTAAAAAAAAAAAGTTCAAGAGTAACAGTGAAAACATTCTTGAAGCATTTAGCTTGTCAGATACACCTGTGAAAAACAAGTCATTATGCCTTTAATAGGGATTGTTGCTTATTGAAAACTAAAGTAAACGCAGTATTGGTGTGCCATTTTGCAAATTTGTTGTTACTTCATATGGGTATAACAATTGGATCTTTTCTACTGGTATACAAGTTTCTGAAGATTTTTCTGGACTGAATGGCTAATTTGTAGGTTTCAAGGTCAATGAAAGTAGAAGTACAGAGAACAGAATGGTCTTTAAGTATTTGTAGCCATATAATGTGACACATTGGTGTTGTATTCCAAGAATATTATTTAAAGTGAGCAATTTGCCCTTCCAGCAGTCTTGTTCAACAAGTGCGTTGTATTTTCCTTGCTTGGTGATTGTACCATACTGTCAGTTTAAAAGTCTTTGTGTTCACTGCGTTGTAGTCTGCTATTAAAAAAAGCAAAGTCAAAAATAATTTGAAATTCTTAAGTCACCCACAGCATTTTTCAGTATTGGTCATTTTCTGTAGAAGGCAGTAAAGTCAAATAATAGAAATAAAGTAGTTTCTAATTTCTTCAGTGGTTTTTATAGATGTATTTTTAAAAAATGTTGCAACTTGAGAACATAAAACTGATTAAAGTGAATAATGATTGGAATTCAGTAATAAGGCTTGAAGTGGATGTCTTTTTACTTCACAATACAAACATGAATATTGGGGCTGCATTGCTGGCAATGGAACTTTCTGAGGTGTCCATTTCGTTGTCTGCATGTACAAATTATTTAAGAACCCACTAGAGGGGTAGGTGTATTGAAAGACTCAATGTCTGCTTGCTGGTAGGAATCAGGCAAGAATGCATATTGCATTAATGTAAGAGAAAGAGTGGGACTGGGGAAATCCCACAGAACGGCATGCCAACAGTTCATAGTTCAACAGTGTCCTGAAAGTAAGTTACTGTTGTTATAAACAGTAGCCTTTGACAAACTTCTGTGCATTTGGTTGTTTGCATTTTGAGCCCATATGTGCCTTCAGCATTTGTGGAGTTTTGCAGGATCTGTACCCATATCAGAACCAGCTTCTTATGCTTGGTTTGTATCAGCCACTTTTCCCTTTTTCTTATATTGGGAAGAACAGTGAATCATTGCTTTGTATCAGTATTCTTTATGCTATTTCTGGTTGTACAGATATCTGTCCTATCCTGCTCAATGGAACTTCTGGATCTGGATAAGGGGCTAATGTAGTTGTCCGTTATATGGAAGTTGCTCTGTACATTTGGTTGTGCTTGTCCTCCCTCTTTTGTCTTTGTGAGTTTCCCCATGTTTCTTCTGAGCACATACCCGTTCCCTTCCTAATAGTTGGTATCACTGTTTATCAATTTTGCGTACTGTTGAGCTCAGAACTATCCTTGTCATAGTTATCTATTATTACCACCAAATCTTTTATTCCTCATCAATTATCCATTGTTAGGTCCTGCTGCTGTTGATTTTACTAGCCTAAATTAAGGCCATCAGCAGTCACCTCATTTTATCCTCTTTTGCAGATAATTTATGAATATGTTTGAAGCATACAATCCCGAGTTACAGATGTCTCCACTGTGAAAACTGAGCATTTGTTTTGACCTTCTCTTTCCAGTCTTATAATCATTGCATTTCCTTCAATGGTATTCCGTTCTACCCTTCAGCATATTAGTTTCTTAAAGAGTCCTTAGTGAAGGATCTTATCAAATGCTTTTTGATGTCCAAAGTAGACTGTATCAGTCAGATGCCTTTTGTCTCCGTGCTTGCTGACAGCTTGTGAGCTATGACTCTAACTTTAAAAAGTGCTGTCGGCTCCTCTGCAGTGTCTTGTTTTTCCATCTGCCCATGAACTCCATTTTCTGGAACGGTTTCTACGGGCCAGTAATACAGATATCTGTACTAGGCAAATTAGTAGGTCACAGTCACCAAAAGCACCTCACTACCTGAAGATTAAAGAATCCTTTCCTCTAGTAGTGGGGTAATTTTAAGTTAGAGTTCAATGCCAATTAGCCAACTATTTAATCTTTTTCCTTTCCTGTTGTTTATATGAATCCTTATTTTTCATTTGCCTCTGTGTTCGCTATATCCTTCAGACACTTTTGTTTAAGATAGGTTCTCTGATGGAAAATAAACAAGGGACTGCTTTTCCACTATTGTGGAAAACTCCACTACTGTGTTGAACATTGATATAAAAAAAAAATGCATGCTTTCCACTATTGTGTTGTCATCTCTGCATATTCTTTCTATATCTTACTTGACTCTTCAACAAGATTTCTGCTTTTGATGTTCTGAAAGAAAATATATTAATATTTATACCTTCCGCAAGCTGCTACACAATTTCTTTTTAGCTAATTTTGTGGATTTAGAGGCCCTACCACATTTTTTTCTTTTGTGCTCATTTGGCTATGTCTTTAGATTTTCAACATTGCCTATTTTCTGTTTATAGCTTTTCTTACCCTGCTGTGTAGTCATTATACTTTTTTTTTTTTTCATTTCAAGACTCTGTCAGTAAGTGCTGCATATTTGCACTCAGTCTCTAGGTAGTGTCTTTAAAGCATCTCTAAGCTGTCTGTCAAAGGTTAGCTTTTTAGCTTTTTCCTATCACACCTTTTTATTAAGTTTTCTCATTTGTGCATAGTTTGTCTATTAGAAACTAGGCAGAGCAGTAGCGAATTTGGGGTGTTTGCCCTTCCTGCAAGAATGCTTAAGTATATCTTGATCAGAGCTAAAAAACTTCTTTGAATGCTTCTGCCTGCTCAGGACCTAGTCAGGGGTTTCTTGTTTTGTGGGTGCCACAAGGAGCGGTTCCATGAAGCAGTCGGGGAGCTTGTCTCACCGGTTGGTTTTTAGCATCAGGTGACCTTAATTACCCATTCTCCATGGGGAGCGGCTGTCACTGTTGCATTTCATGCCATTGTAGCCTCTCTCATGTGCCCCAACATGATGACATTTCTAGCCTTGCTTTTTGACGGTTGAAGGAATATTGAGAATAAGAATGCTGTAGTGAATTAGTGGTTTAGAAGTGGTGAGTTCATCTTTTCTATCCGTTTTTTCAATGCAGTATGAATAACAGAAAGCATGTGTTTCTTTTGTATGTTATATCGTATTCTTCAGATGCTACATTTGTTTTTTGAATGTTGGTCTTATATTATTATTATTATTCAATATTCAAAAACACATGAGGAAAAATACTTGCAAAACATTGCAAACTTATTTCTTTAAAAGTATTTTTATGTTGCAGTGTGCAACATAGATTTCCCCAAATATTTTCTTTACAGGTTTTTACAGTTGCAACACAGAAATTATGCCTGGTATAAATAACTGGACACCGGAAATTCAAGTAAGGTTATTCAAAGAAAATTGAAACTTCTTTTCCAAATTGTTTTGAAATACACTGTGGTAATTTTAATATATATTAGAGATTGCTAGTTTTGAAAGATAAATTAAAAGGATACTCTTGTGTTAGAAATAAAAGTATTTTGGTAAGAACAATAGGGTATGAGAACCTGTTTCTTTGTGGTTTTTTTCAATGCTGTTAGACAGCCTGGTACAAAAATAAGAAAATAATTACAGTAGATGTGAACTTTAAGGTTTTTGGCATTTTTAAGAGCCTGGCTAAATTTTGAAGCCTCTTAAAAGAAACAAATTGTTGACTGTGTTACTTAGTGTGAGATACCGAATATGATAACATGAATACGTTAAGACAAATAAGAATTAGATAAAGCCAATCCAGTGAGTAGAGAAAATTTCCATTTATAATGAAGTTTATACATGTTGGTCCTGTTTGTACGACACAATTCAGTCTCATATAGAGTTAAAATAGATCTATTGAAGTGAGCTTTTACACCTAATTGGCACAATGCAAGACTCTGCTTTGCAGAGGCATAGCTCAGACCTGAAAACAGTATGACTGCACCAGCAGCATACTCTCAGGTTGATGGGATTGCCTGTATATCTGTATATGACGTTCCATTATTGTCTGTGTTATTGTACACAATTAACATGTAATTTTCAACAGCAGTTAAAATAAGTAGCAAGTAGAATGACTCCTTTATAAAACAAGTGAAAAGAACATAGAGTACTTAATATCCTGCTTAATCGCTTGTTTCATATATTCATATACATTAGTTGATAGAAAATTTGCCTTTTGTTTGTAAAATTGCGTGAGCAATAAGAACTTTACTTGACTTACTGTTGCTACAGTTTTTTTCCTTTTCTCCCTCTCCCTCCCCCATACCATGTTATGCATTATTAGCCTTCTTTATGAACTTGTTTTTAATATAAAATACAGGCATATACTGGGAAAAAAAATAAGTGTGTTTGTTTTTAATTCAGATGTTCACAGCAGTAAGAGTATCCAGATTAAGCAACATTAACCTAACAAATCAAACACTTAATAAGAACTTTAATGATCTCTGTGAGAATCTGTTGAAGGTAAGAATCTTATTTCAAACATTTTTTGAATTGTTCAAATAGATGAAAAGTAAAATCAGGCTATACTGAAAATAACATTTTCTTCATAATTACTTTTTGGAATTAGGCTACAAAGCGTCTGTAATAAGTTTGTAAGCTGCTCTAAAGGTAGATTCAGCCTTCTTAGTATATTAAGGATTTCCAAAGCTTTTTGAATCTGAATGAGTCCTTTGACTGGTAGTGTACTCTAGAAACAGAAATATAAAGACTGCTGCACAGTAGATTGCATTTTTTCCTGACTTTTCACACCTGTAATTCTTCAAGAAAAAATTAATGTTATTAGATGATTTTTACTATGAAAAGAGTTTTGATCTTTAATTTTTAGGACAAGAGGAAACAGTCTCAAGTTGTGCTGGGGGAGGTTCAGGCTGGACATTAGAAAGAACTTCTTCACTGTTAGAGTCATTAAGCATTGGAATGGGCTCCCCAGGGAGGTGGTGGAGTCACCATCCCTGGAGGTGTTCAAAAAACGTTTAGATGTGGCACTTCGAGACATGGTGTAGTGGGTTTAGCAGGCATGGTGGCATCAGGTATACGGTTGGACTTGATGATCTTTGAGGTTTCTTCCAACCATAATGATTTTGATTCTATGATTCTCTGAAATAAACCATACTTTTTTTTTTTTTGAGAGTAACACAAATAATGTCTTGTTTTCAACAGAGCTTGTATTTTAAACTACGATCTATGGTTCCTTGCTGCCTTTGTCATGTAAATTTCACAGTTGCTCTACCGGAGGATGAGTTAGTTCAGGTAAGCAAACTGCTGCTTTTGACTTTCAGTATGTAGGCATGACATTTATGGCCTTTAATTAGCATTTGCTGCCCAGAGTAAACTAGGCTAGGATTTGATTTACTAGTAGGTCTGGTGAATTCTGAAGTAGAACTTAAGGCCATAATATTTGGTGAAGAAAAAGGATGACCTGTTGAGTTCACCAGTTTTCAGTATCATGGGATTACATGGCACTTCATGAGCACAGTGCATCTCAATAGTGTGTATCTTTTTAGTTAGATAGGAAATGAAAAGCTCTGACTAGGTATCCATTAAAAGGTGTTACCACATACACTGCCAGAATATGGCACACTAATTTTCAAAGTATGCTGTCGTTGTAATTGTCTATGATGCGATATACTTTATTATTTTTTAAGGAAATGTTTTCTTTAGAAGTATAGCATCATTCTTGTGTTCAGTTAAACATCTCTTTCTCTCTTTTACAAATACAATGATAATGAGTTTTTATGATTCTTTTTTATGTCAGTTCAAGAAAGGAGGAAGGAACTGGTGAACAAAATCATAAATGCGGGACGAACATTGTCAGGTGTATGTTCTAACAATGGACCTTAGTATTACCTTTTATGCTCTGCTGTGAAGGGTTTTTAATATGTCTACTTAGATAATTTTTTTTGCCTGTTATTTTTTATGGAAAAAGCTGACTTGTTTGCAGAATTATTTTTGCAGATTGCACAAGAGATTAAGTTACCTAACGTGCCATATATTTTTGATTTGCAGATCGCAGTCACAGCTGTTGCAATTACATTTGACAAAAATCAAGCATTACAAGCCAACAAAGCCCCTACAGAAAAATCACAGCAAAGAGGTAAATGTTGTGAGGCATGTAAAGATAAGAGAGAATATTTTTCTTTCCTTTTTTAGAGTTCATATATGTGACCTCCAGCAGGATGACTGACTTATCGAGTGTTAGGTACTTGCTTTACGTAATCAACAAACTTACAGTAACATGAAAAAAATGTTTGATATTTCCTTGTTCCATGTGCCATCTTTCTTTGAATATTTTTCTCTAAAGAATTAGTGTAACAGATGATGACATTTCCATTGTATTTTGAAACATGTGGTGTAAGTCATTAGAGAGTACTTGTTCTTATAAGTAGCAAATTTTGTCCTTCCTTCAAGAAGGCAGAAAATAAATTATTCATAATATTTCAAAAAAACCTGCCCAAAACCCTTAAGTAGGTCGGTAATATAGTTGCAGATCAGTGAAGCATATAGCATTATGGAGGGAATAGAAGGGACTACTGCAATCTGCGTATGTCATCTTGCTAATGAAGCACCGTCTTACACTAGAAATGTATGTATGCAATCTGGATATGGGAATTTAGACAGAACTTTGAAGATACTCCATTCTAAAGAATGGAATTAGGTAGTAGAACAGAGCCATATGTTTCTAAAACATTAGTTATAGCTAACTTCTTCAACAGAATCAGTAAATCATTTTCTTTTATGTGAAATAAAAAAAATGTTATTTTACTGTAATGCATAGCTAACTCAGATCCAACTGCAGAATCAAATCGAAAATGCATGAATTGACACAATGTTTTTTCCTGAAAATACTAAATCAAATCCTCTTCAGTGGAACACAGGTTCTGTTCAATTTTGCAGCTGCATTTATTGTCAGACACCTAATTGTTCATACAGAACTGCATCACTATATAGATAGGCTGAAAATAATCTGTTCCAGTCAGACCTGACTAAAATGAACCTGTAGTGCTTACTGTTACTGGCAAATCTTATTTTGGGGGTTAATTATCAATTGGATATGATTTCTTTGTTGAAGCATCTACAGACAATGAAGAACAGCTCCAGTTTCCATTGGAACTTTGCTCTGATCCTCTTGCTTCTCAGCCGTTCTCACCAGCTAAAGGTCAGTTAAATGGAAGAATGTTGAACTATTGGTTTTTACTGATTTTGAGTTCTGCTCTTTCATTGTTGCAGTAGCTTTAAAATATCTGTACTTTAACATGCTTTAAATATTCTTTGCTGCCTAAGCATAATGGTGTCCACTCCAAAAGTCATTTTTTGAGAGTCCCATAAGATGGGTTGGATAATCGTTCTGTATATATTCTTTTGTAGATTTCCTGTAGTTCTTCTGTCTTTGCATTTAGAGTATTGAAAATGCTGCAAACCACTGGGTGTTGGGTGTCATTTGACTTAAAGAATTATACTTTCCTTAATAATTAGGCTTGCCACATACTGCTTTGCTTCTGTAAATAGCCTGTATAAAATGACTCCATGTATTGTCAGCCTCAAATAATTAATCTCATAGTTTTCATGGTGTGAAATACTTTAGCAAATACTGGTGGTTCAGCTAAGCAAAATTGCATGCAATTTTTTTTTTTTAAGTGAAAGGAGCTTAAACTTAGTAAACCTTAGTAAAACTTAGTAAACATAGTAAAACATTTGTATGCTGCAGCACGTTTTAGCTGTTAAATAGCTGCTTTATTTTACCTGAGATAGAGCTGTATTTCAGGAATGGTTGTCACAATTCTTCTATGACTGTATCAAAAATTAGGTCGTCATTCATTGAAATCAGCTGTCCTTACTTCCTTCTCCATTGTTGGATTATCTACCCACCAAAATGGCTAGAGATAGGAAATTTAGTGTCTGTGAGTTATTGTAAATACCCTTTAACTAAAATGTTAGAGCTCCCTTTTTTGCTCACTACTTAAGTTATATAAAGGAAGGTACCTACCTCATTTACTTGTATTTTCAGAGGTCGGTTTAATTTCAGCAATAATATTCTTATTGCTTTATATATTTTTTAATTATTTTTATGCATTTATGTGTGCTTAACTTTAATTGGTCGCATTATGATGTTAACCTTTGATTTTCAAAAAGAGGAGCTCTCCAAAAATTTCTGACTGATATAGTCTTCGCTGTGACCAGACCGTGCTATTTGCATAGTGGGCACTGACCAGTAGAGGGTAGCCTGTTCATGTGTATCACTTTTCCTGATGTTCTTCACATTCCGTATTGTACTGTACATAGCTTTAGGCACTTTCAACTAGATAATTATTTCATCTGCCTTCTTCACAAATGGACTTGAGCTTTCATTGTAGTTACACTTACTTAGCAGCTTATTTAATACATTGATACCTTTTTTACGTACTCTTCTGTAAAACTTATTTTAAAAATATTTGTATACAACCATACACAGTAATGACCTTTAGTAAACAATCCTATTACAATTTGCAAGACAGATTTAGTAAATTTAATTACTTATACTAATTTATTATGTGCTACCAAAGTACACAGTATACTGTGTATAGAAGGTTTTTTTTTTCTCGTATTTTACTCCAAAATATTTTTTTTTAATAAGAAGAAAACTGTTGTTCTGTACTACATGACTGCTTATATATTATCTGAATGGAATTCATTTTGTCTTGTTAGAAGCCCTGGAGGGTGCAAG